TTGTTGAAAATGGGTCGGGTAGTTTATTTAAAAGGGGGTATATCTAGACCTTTTCAAATAGTTTAGGGGTATATTTGACCCTTTTTCAATGCCACGTGGTAATGTAAAAATGATGTGGCAATTTCATTTGGCGTTTAACGCCCATAAGGGAATATCTAGACGAAAAGTTGGACGGCGAGGGCACAAGTGAGCCAAACTTTAAACGAGGGGTATATCTAGACCTTTTCGAATAGTTTAGGGGCATATTTGACCATTTTCCCTTTTAAAAATATTTATTATATATATTTTAAGTCGTATTTTATTTGTTAAGATTTTGTCAATAAATATTTTTAAAATATCAATATAAAATCAAGTCTAACTTCTTTACGTATCTTTTACATTTTAGGGCCATTAGTCCACTAAATTTTCTCATTAGCCCAAGCTTATTACTCCATTATAACTCTGAATCTTTGACCTCTTCTACTTTTATTTTTATGCCTAATTTTCCACTTCTCCTTTATTGTCTTGTTTATGAAAATCGTGATCATGTAATGTTCTTTGCTCGGATGAATCTTATGAATGTTGTATCTTGACTATTATGTTTTTGTTTTGTAAATATTCACTAAAGTATATATGTGTAATTCATGAATGAATTTCTGTATGTATTGATGTCGTGTTCATTAGACATTCAACGTTCGTACTCTTTCTAAGAGGACAATGTTATTCATTTTTTGGTTGAAGGGCCAACCCGTGGCCCGCTTAGGATTGGATTGGATTGCTATTTTACAGGCCCTTTAATTAAAAGGGCCAGCCCGTCTCAATCCATTTTACTCTCTAGCCCATTAGGGTTGGATTGAATTGGATCAGCCCATTTCAACAGCTCTACCTCCAAGGCTACAAAATTCTTAAAATATTCTTTTTATAAATAGATTCCTCACAGTTTATTACAAGTAGACAAATAAAATGGCCTCCATTCTTTAACAATTAGCAATAGGTGTGTTCTGTTTAAATGTTTGTATAGTGCATTTACATTCAATGAATAGAAATATTTTTTTTATTTGGAATTTTTCTAGTTATGTTTGATCATTTTTTTATTTTGGAATTGAAATGTATTTTTAAAAGAAATATGAAATATGATTTAAACGAAGTTCTTAAAAAAAATTATGATAGTTTTGAAGGAAAAAAATTTAAAAGTAAAAAAAAAAAAAAGAGAATAGAGTTTCGACTATTTTCCAAATTTCAAATACAACTTAAAATTATTTCACGGTCAAATATTGATTTTTAAAAAATGATTTTTTTTTAAAAATAATTATTTTTTTATGGCTCAACGTCTTTATTCTTTTCGACCCATAAATTTCAAATAAAATAAAAAGTACTCCCCCTATCTCTATTTATCTATCTAATTTTAACATGATACATCTATTAAAAATAATAATTAATATAATAAATTTATCATTTTATCTTTATTAATTTATAAAATTCCAAAATCAATTTACTAAGTTCAAACTTGTCGAAAAACTTACCAGTAAAAAGGGGACCGGAGGAGTATATTTGGAATGTTTCGCCATTACCTACAAATTTGGTTGTTTTAAATGGTCCCACGCAATGTGACACTTGCCAAATTTAGACGCAGATTCACCAAATTGGTCTCAATGTAAAGGAAGTCAAAGAAGCGAGTGAGTAACCTATAAGATCGAATCTGTTCGTCTTCTCAAATCTTGAAGGTGAACAAAGCGAAGAAAGACAAAGAAGAATGGGATCAATAGCGAAAAAGGGTCTCCAACAGTACTTGCTACAGCTTCAGCAACACCCTTTACGAACAAAGGTCAAACCTTTTACCCAATTTCTTTACCAATCTTTTTTGTTTTTCTTTTCAACTTTTTTTTTTTTTGATTTGTGAAGAGGGGTTTTGGGATATTTTGAATTGTTTGCTTAATTGTGATGTGGGTCTTATTTAATTTGTCGAGAAGTTGCTACTTTGATACAAAGATTTCATCTTTTTCTTCTGCATTTTCTTGAAGTTTTTCCCAACTTTTCTGAAGTTTTAGCAGAATTAGTACTGGAATAATCTATGATAGTTGAATCCTTGATGGCAGGCAATAACGGCGGGAGTGTTGTCGGCGATCAGTGATATAGTGGCTCAGAAGATCACTGGCATTCAGAAACTTCAAGTCAGACGCCTTCTTCTCAAAGTGGTACGGTTCCTCTACCTTCTATTTGCAGAGGTTTATATTTCGAGTACTAAAAAAGAACATTTATGGTATAATGGAGGTCATAATTGCAATTTGTAAGCACTCCCATGGTTCCATTTACGTATCTGAGCTTGGGTACGACTTTTGTAAATTTCATGATGCTTTTAACAAAAAATTTTCCTTCGATTCAGAAAGAAGTGTCAGTGAAGTTTCATATACTGGCCTGAGTGCCTCATGTTTGGTTTAGAGGTTCGCTGTCTGTATCTTTTCATAAAAAATCTGCTTGGTTCTGTAACACTAGTACACTACCTTAGACCCCAGTCTCTTTCATTGCTTTTCTGATGATGGTGGTAACCAGCCAGTTTATGTGCATCTACTAATACTCTAGGCAGCCTGATATAACCCATAATTACTTGTATTTGTAAACCTGTCCATCAAGGTTAGAAAATAGAACAAACACTCAATGTTGCAGCTTGGATTTGAACTCCTATGCCTCGACTACTCAGCCTTAAACCATGATGTCTTTTATGTAATACCAAGTACAGATCAATTTTAGCCTCTTAAGTGCATCAGGTACGGAAACTAAATATAAAAAGCAAACTAATGCAGTGTCAACATGCTCTTTGGCTTGGATGGAAGTGGTAAGTTTGCTTTTAAAATGTAACCCAGGGCAATATGATCAGCTTTTCTCAAATTTTTCTTAAAATGACATGATTAACATGCCGAAGAGAGTGCTTTATTTTTTTTGTTCTAGAGAATCCCAACCCAATCTCTTTTGCATATTTCGGTTGTGCCCATCTAGGGTTGAATGGGTTAGGTTTAATTTCAGATTCTAGTGTTTCTTCTAAATGAAAATTTTACAACTTACGGGAAGAAGTGTTTTGGTTATGAGCCACAAAGGATGTTACAGATATATTTCTTCTTGTGCGTGAAATCTCTTTACTCATACTGGTCCTACTGCACAAAGGCTTCTGCACTGAGTATTGGGACGGTAGCCTCTGTTTTTTTTTTATAACCGAGAAATCCGTCTGTGACCCGCCCTTTGGACCAATCTGTTGCGTTAAAGAGGTGCTATTTCTGGCTAATCCTTTAATTTTCTATTTAGATTGTCAAGTCCTAAAACTGGAGTGGGATCTTTGAAGTTAGAACTGTAGCATGTGGAATATTATTACTTGTCACACCACTGACCTAGGAAATTAGGAGTCAGAAGAAAGGTAAGTGTTTCAAAAAATTGACAACTAACTAGTATGGAATTCTGCTTGAAATAGCTTCAATATCTTGAGTTGCTTTGAAGATTTGTCTTTGAGGTTTGAGAATCCGGATACTGAGCAAGTAGTTGCCAGTGAGCATACAAAGTTAAAGTTCATCTCCTGGCTAACTTTAGTCACAACGAGTGAATGGATATAGAGGATTCATACAACCGACCCCAACTAGCTTGTTATTTAGGCGGAATTGTTGTCGGTGTAGGTTAAGTTTAGTTGCAATTCTGTGTCAATTTCAGGGTTGTTATTAACAATGCATGGCAAAATCATTTGATTCATTTGGTATCATTTGTTTCATATTCATCTACTTTGCGAATAAGTTGGTATTTGGGATGTCATCATCTGCTTTGCCTGTAACTACATGCAGCTTTTTGGTGTTGCCTATCTTGGACCATTTGGGCATTTTCTTCACTTATTACTGGACAAACTTTTCAAGGGGAAGAGAGACAAGAGTACAGTTGCCAAAAAGGTACTAACCCTCTCTTCTTTGGATGATTTTGTATGTTTCACAAAAATAGGATATGGTATCTTGTACATGGATGTTACACATTACCTTGTACTTTATGGATCTGATCTACCTCGTACGTGGATCTATATCAATAGAACTGCTTGACTGTATACTCATGACCTGGTAAATTGCTACACTTGCCTACTTGAAAGTTTCACTTGTTTATCGTTTTGCTAAATAATGTTACCAGATAGAGAAAGAAGTAAATAAGTAAATAAACAGTGAGCTGATAAATATACAAGAATGTGAACTTGCATTTTGATTATTTCAGGTGTTGCTGGAACAAATTACTTCGTCACCCTGGAATAACTTGCTTTTTATGGTTTACTATGGATTAGTTATTGAAAGTGAGTTTTTCTTTTGAGTTACCACTGCCTTTTAACATTCTGACATATAAACTATTGCGTGGTATACCATCACACCAAAACTCAACATCACGTTCTACAACTAAACGTTCAAGTAGACAAAAGTGTCCTTAAGCAATCAAATTAGGATTGTTATCTAAGAACTCAAAGGGCCTAATTATAGACATAACCTTCAATTTAAAAGTGTTACAACAGCAACAAACATTTTATTCATGTGGCAAAAAGAAAAAAGGGAAACAAAAGGTTAAAAACTATTGTTTTCTGGCCATCTTTTGAATTCAATTTTAGCAAAAGCATTTCATCTATAGAAACACATTGTTTTGTTACGAAAATTATTCAATTTGCACGTTCAAACAGTTTATCTCTTTAAACCCTTACAATTGTACAAAGCTTGATAAGGTACTTAGTTTTTGCCATGTGAGAGCCTCAAATCCTTTGTTTATGTTTCTAGTTTAATGAAAATTTTGCGTAATTATTTCCCATTTTTCTTCTTTTTCCCTTTGGACCTAGTGGGAAATATCCTCAAAATGAGCAGATTACTGAAAACAATCTCTACTTTACTTCAATGAGTGTTTTATTCAAATAATTATTTATATTATGTTTGGCTGGGGTAAAAAGAGAGACGGTGTGAGCAGAGGATGTTTAAAAAGAAAAGCGATATGGGGTTTTCTACACTTTTTTACTGACAAAGTAATAGAGGAGCTTTTGAACCCTCTGAAAGAGGGACTGAAGAAGTTGTAACACTCTTCCATAAACTAGTGAAAGGAGGATATATATCCTTATTACCTTCCATCCTATCCTAGAAACAATTAAAAGAGATGATGGATGCTCTATAAAAAGAAATTAAACCATGAGTTTCTCATTTCCTTACAAATTTCTTCTCCTTCGTCGAGCCATATTTAGTACAAGTTTTTGAAAGCTGCTGAAAGGGAGCTTAAGTTTGTTTACCTTCCATTAGCTAGAGGTATAATTATGTACACACAGAACAACAAATCTTACTGAATATTTAATATTATTTTGTATTTTGCACAGAGAGACCCTGGATCCAGGTGAAATCTAATATCAAGAGAGAATATCCAAAAGTGCAGTATACAGCGTGGGCGGTTAGTCAAATTTGCCCTCTCCCAAGTCCAATGTTTTTTGTTCTATTCTACGGTGAATGATAATTCTAATTATTGTTTATAAATGTGCAGTTTTGGCCAGTCGTTGGGTGGGTAAATCACTTGTATGTTCCGCTGCAATTAAGAGTAATCTTTCACAGCATTATTGCATGTTGCTGGTATGCACCACAATTTCCCTTCTTGTTACTGTTTCTGCTACTGTCAAACATGTTCCATATCTATGATTTCACAGTGTTGTAATGTTGTTAATGCTCTATGCTTTTTTATCGATTTGTAGGGGAATATTTTTGAATCTACGTGCTAGGTCGATGGTCTTGAAAAAAGCTTGAAATCTTCAAAGTTGATTCATGAACATGCATGGCAACATCTCCTTGTGTTAGTTGAATTGAAAATGGTAGCTTGGAATTGCTTATTTTGTTTTGATTTTCATGTTTTCGCTGATCCCTCATAACCAAGACAAAGTTCATCTAGTAATAAATTGGTTGTAATTGTCCTGTGTCATCGATCAAGTGCTAGGCAGAATGTTGCACACATGGTAATGTGAAAAGTTGTCAGTTCGAAAAAGTAACGCCCTTCAAATGTGACTCAAAAAAGCAAGATTGTGGCAAGAGATGACAGTGAATTATGTTTCACAATTCAACATTGTTAATGTAAAATTGAAACTGAGTTGCTGCTATCTGTATACCAAGTCCTGGATGGTTGGTGTTATTCATCATTGCCTAGTACACCATCTAAGTGCGCTTTTCTAAATTTTCTCAGACAATATTTTGGAATGTAAACATGAGAATTTCTCAAACTACTTTTCAACGTAAGCAATTTGATAATAGGTATTGTTTTTGGTCAATTAAACCTTTCAAATTATTTGTCATTTCAGAAAAAACGGAATATGATTTACATACACTGTTCCCCACCCCCAACCCTAAATTTACATTTTAGTGTTCGAATTAATAGGTTAGACATTTGAGGGAGAGATAAATAGTACCTCCCATAAATACATGAAATGAAGAAAATTTAACATTTGTTGGAAAACAAGTATGTGTATTGAGCTAGAATTTTATCTCAGGTAGTAAAAGGTCAACACGGTACACTAGTATAGAGCTGAACATGAGGTATATACACATAAAACAACTTTTAGGAAAGAAAAAACTGATGAGCTTTAGTATTTCAACAGTGGCTGGCTGGTATAAAAAATTTCTGATATTTGAAATATAGTTGAGTATATTTGACAGTCTTATTATATATTCATATCCCTCGAAATTTGAATCGACAAGTACTCATATTATATGTCCAAATTTGGATTTATTTCAATTTGTGAAACTACAGTATCCAAAAAAAATGCCTAATTAAAATCCACGTGATTTGAAAGAAAAAACAGCTACTCCGTGTTTCAATACATCTTTTGGTTCATGTTTTTGGAATTTTTTTCATGTGTTCTCATTAAAATTAATCATGTAAAATATGTCATTTCTTTTAATTATATATATTCACCTTAATAAATAGTAAAATTTCTATCTGAGGTTGATGCACATAATTAAAGGAGATGACATATTTTATGTGGTTAACTTAACTATACAATAGACAAATAAAAACACATGCAAAAGTTTATGTGCAATTTGATCACATGAAAACCAACTCAATAGACGAATGATAACACGCAAAATGGAACAAAACTTAATTCAAATCTCTAAATAAAATATCTTGAAAAATTTAGGAGAACGACTATGTATTAAGCCAAAAAAACAACACAAGGGGTTTGTTAACACGTACTCCTTCCTACATGGTGTGCTAATTCAGTATGGCTAATTCTCATCATTTTGCAACTCAGGTTGGTGTAATAATTTGATTGTGCCAAGGGAAAATAAAAAAAAGCATGATGGATTTTATCGAGAACAGATAGCTAATATCTGGTGGATAATTAAATACTTATTAGCATTGGATTTTTTTTGTATCAAATTATACAAAATTTATTATAATTAATTAAATTAAGTAATGATAGATGTTAACGAATCATGATTAGGTGTTAAAGAGATCTATGTACACATACATGCCACATAATTAATTTGGTTTAAATATCAGTTGCATAAAAGTTTTTTTACATGTTTGCTCAAAATAAATGTAACAACTAAATGATTGTAAATTGTATTTTTTTTTTCTCATCTATTTATTATTATATTGCTATTCGCAACTGATTGGTTAATAAAGTGAATCCACTTATATAATTTTTTTATTAACAAGAATAATTCTTAATTTGACGAAATTAATGTGGTTCACTCTTAATTATATTTATGCGAAGTATCATCACCCATGAAATACCTAATTGGATACACGGATTAAGAGTTGATCAAGGGTCTTAATTATATAATTTTGCTATATTGAAAGTCAATAAGAGTAAGTACAATGAGGCCTAGTAGCCAAAATAAGAAATAGTCTTCTTGGCCATATTATACCCATTCAATTCAAACTTTGAATAACGTAACATACTATTATTTCCCCTTTTTTTAATAATCCAGTCAAATCAATCTTATTTCTGTTAACTACTATCCCTATAATAATCTATATATACGTCCCATGTCCTGTCTTTTTATATCATAATAATCATAAATCAAAAACTCAACTTTGGGTTTTCTCTTGTTTGTTTTTTCAATCAATTAATATCAGTTGAAGTAACAAATACGATGACAATCGTTCTACAATCGTCAAATTTCTTGAATTCATCAACATCATGTAGAAGGGGATTTATTAGAGCGAATATTAATACCCCGAATAATCAGACATTTAAAATCTCTCTTCCTAGGCTTCAAAAAAGAGCTAGATTAGCACAGGAACAAGAGTTGATTAGTGTGTTCTCAACTAGTGGTAGCCCAATTGAGAAACAAATTAGCCCTTCAAGAAGAAGTGATCCTCTGGTGATCGAGAAGCTTTACGCGATTAAGGAGGCAATTGCGGATAGAGTGGAGATGCATAGAAATATTGGGGAACAGAGGAGTCAATGGAGCAGTATGCTTTTGACATCAATTAATGGGATTACTCTTGCTGCTGCTACGATGGTTGGAATTGCAGCTAGCAGTAGTGGTGATTCTGTTTTGGGATTAAAAATGTCATCCACTTTGATGTATTTGGCTGCTACTGGTATGTTGGTGGCCATGAACCAAATTCAACCATCCCAATTGGCTGAAGAACAAAGAAACGCAGCTAGGTTGTTTCAGGCTCTATATAACCAAATCGAAACAACTTTATCAATCGGTCACCCTTTGAGTATTGATGTCAAAGAAGCTATGGACAGAGTATTGGCTCTTGACAAGGCTTATCCATTACCTCTTCTTGGCTTAATGATAGAGAAATTTCCATCTTCTGTTGAACCTGCTGTTTGGTGGCCTCAACAACGTCGAAGGCAGCCTAAAAGGGTCAATGACAATTGGAATGGATGGAATGGTAAACTGGAGGAGGAAATGAAGGAAATAATGGGAGTATTAGGCAGAAAAGACCAAGAAGAATATATTAGGCTGGGGGAGAAGGCCTTGAAATTCAACAAGTTTTTAGCCATGTCCGGTCCATTGCTCACGGGCTTAGCAGCAGTTGGCTCTGCATTTGCAGATCATTCTCCTCATGGATCATGGGCAGCCATGCTTGGAATTGTTGGTGGCGCATTGGCAAGTGTAGTTAACACAGTAGAGCATGGTGGACAAGTTGGAATGGTATTTGAAATGTATAGGAGCAACGCCGGTTTCTTCCAGTACATGCAAGAATCTATTGAATCAAACTTGACAGAAACAGAAATGGAGAGAAGAGAAAATGGTGAGGTGTTTGAATTGAAGTTGGCTTTGAAATTAGGAAGGAGCTTATCAGATCTAAGAAATCTTGCTGCTGCTTCTTTATCAAAGGGAGAAGAAATCGACGAATTTGGGAGCAAGCTTTTCTAAGTTTTAACTGCTTAGTGTATAATGCAGTAGTACATATTAATGTTTATGCAAATAGGACTAACTCATTCTTTGTAAGGCCATCTTGCAAGTTGCACAGTAAATGGCAAGCTTGTTTGATTCTTACTAATTATTATTTTTGACTCTATACAAGAAATGAATTACTTGATCATTTATTGTCTTTCAATTTTTGACTCATTCTTTCCATTCAAATGTTGATTGCTTATAACAGTTTCTCAGGCCATCTTGCAAGCTTTAAATCGTTTGATGTTTTTTCTTATTTCTTGGCTCCATGAGAAATGAATCATCTCTTTAGTTCAAGTGGCTTTAATTATGCATTTGATAATGAGTGAACCAAAACAAAACCTGAGATCATGTGTGTTTAAGTAGTGATCAATCGAAGACTAAATTCGAAACTTTGAATAATAAAAAAGTGAGCTTGTGATCGACTGAGTTTTAAACTTAAAGGGCGAGGTAAAACTGCGACCTCTCTAACATAGGGCGGGCGGGTTAAAGAGAATGACTGACAGACTTTCACGTTGATAATTAACTTTGGAAGATGGGGAAGGAGGAGGGCTCAAGAAAGCGGGTCAAATCAAAGAAAACGGCAGACATGCTTCTAGTCTGACAAATATTTGAAGAAGAGCGGGCTAACGAGGATGGGCCAAAGGAATGACAACATGCTTTTACGCTGACAAATTTCTGAAGAAAAGGTGCTCATAATACCTTAGGTCAATCTCACATCGTGAAGGTCTTTATGAGGCATATTGTCAGTTCATGTAGTTTGTAAGTCATAACACAAGTTCACATGAACACTTTTGTGCTATAAATATACCAACAATGCGTATCATGAGCTCATGCTTTAGTCGTCAAGGTGTAGACTGTAGTGGTTGGTTGGGTAGTATATAGGGAGTAATATAATACCCCTCCAGTAAAAATGACAATATTTCTTAATTTAAATAATTTCTCATCTTAAACCGTTAAAAATGTATTTGACTGGTTCAACTAGGTTATCACCTTCAAATACCCCTACGGCTTGCCTATCAATGGATAAGCTTGAATTTGCAACTATTTGTATTGGAGAATTAAGTGTATACCTCATGAATTAGTAACAGTCCCCCTTTCCCCACCCCCACTTTATAAGAATTAAGAGTCTGCTATGATACCATGTGAAATTAGGTCTTACGCCTAACTCACACCTCCAAAAGCTAGCTCAAAAAGAGGAGGATTGCTCAAGCATTATAAGGAGTCCACTCATCTCATTAACCACCAATGTAGATTTTTTTTCTTTAACAAATTAGAGTCCCAAAACCTTAGATCGTGATTTGAATAATTAGGTAAAAAATTGAATTCTTGGTCTAAATGGGTTTTGAGGGGGTATTTTGGTCATAATAATCTTTTTTTTGAAATCCAACGTTTTCATTGATTTCGAAACATGTTTTATGAGGAATTTTCACTATTGGTTCGTGTTTATAGGATTCCTGATAAGTTTCGAGGGTCAAAAAGATATTTTAAAGGTTGCTAATCGATGCACACTTTTAGGGACAAAAAAATAGACTTTTATCGACGGAAGATCTCCATTGTTCTCTAAAGCAGGAGTACTGGATTTCTATTCGTACCGTCACTTTTCACGTTTTTTGTTAGCATTGATATAATTAATTGCAACTTCCTTCGTGTTATGTCCAGTCATATTTAAAAAATATATGATCAAAGTGAAAAAGATAAAATAACAAAATGGAATTGATTAATTATACTTCTCATCGCATATTACGTACGTAAAACTTAAATTTTGAAAATAAATATATGCAACTTATATGTTTATTTAACTCTTAAATTTAAATAATTACAATACGTTAGTATATAAATTCCTAAAATTATATATGTTGATCTTTATTAAAGTCAATGAGTTTAATATAAAGGTAAATAGAGTACTATAAAAAAATCAATCCTCCAATGCTATGAATGTAGTTCCAATTAAGCAATGGGTTCTTTAACCCTTTATATTCTTATAATATTATCAGTAAAATATGCCAGAATTAAGAGCATGAAACTACAAAAAGTGAATGAAAAGGGTAAAAAATGCCTTTAAATTATGTGAAATGAATAAAAATGTCCTATGTTTATGATTTGGTTCAAATTGTTCACGCCGTCAATATTTTGGTCCAAAAATGACCTTATTGTTATTTAATGGATCAAAAATGTTAATTTTCTAAATAAACATATTTTTTAACACATTTTTTTAAATAATATTTTTATAATTAGCAAATATTTATCATACTTCAATCCAAAAAAAATAAAAATTATTTATTATAATTTATTTTTATCGTTATATGAATAAAAATTAATGATGGATATACTATATTCTTATATATATGACATATATTATCGAAAGGGTAAAGTTATTCTATTTTAATTGATAAAATGAGATTAAGAAGGAAATAAATTTCCTACATTTTTTTTTGTTAAAGTAATTTTAAAAGAAAGAAAACAAGAATAGGGCTCTTAGTAATATTTTGGAAGAAGATGTGTTTAAAAAGAAAAGAAATAATATATATATATTCTGAAAAGAATATTTTTGACCCTTTAGTAACTATAGAGACATTTTTGGACCAAAGTATTAATAATATAAACATTTTTGAACTAAAATATTAACGGCAAAAGCATATTCGAACCAAACTATAAATAAAGAATATTTTTATTCATTTTACTTGGTTTAAGAGCATTTTTTTTATCCTTTTTCCCTTAATTTTGTATGGAGAGAAATGATGTATTGCCACCTCCCTTTTGATATCATCAATCATGGAGGCTGACGTATTACAATAGAGACCACCATGGGTCATGGGTGCGTTAGCTTTGAATATGAGAAAATAATGTAGTATAAGTAGTTTATTAGTAGAATAAATATTTATTTTTGATTATAATTAGTTAATTCAATAAAATGAAAATACATATTAATTAATCAGGATCAATTGCTAGTTATATATGTTTAACACATATATTTATCGACAAAGTATAAATATTCGATAAAAAATGTTTGTAATGACAAATGACATTACAAGTACCACGGTTAACATCTATTATTACAGTTTACCAAAGAAATCAAAGAAACTGATTTTTTCGCGAATGTTGTCTCTATAAAATATGTATTCAAATAGTCAGGTCAGCCTTTGACACTTTGAGAATCAATTATAAGCTTTTTAATAAATATTTGACATATTAATATTGGCAAATATGGTCCTCACAAGTTACATCCCAAATCAATATTCTCAACATCTCATATATATATCTTGTTAGTATTAAAATGATTTTTTCAACATTGTTTTGTATTTATTTGACATAATGTGGGATTTTCAATATTTGTTTCGAAATTGGTTTCTCTATCTTTACAAGGTAGAGATAAGGTGTGTGTACATATCATCCTATCCAGAACTTATTTAATTTGTGGAATTTCACCGAGTTATTGTTGTTATTATGATTACTATATGATAAAAAATAAAAATATGATGAAGAGAAAATGTGGTTTATTTTTAATAGCTTCAACATGTAAATGTTATAAATCCACATGAGCCCTAAACATATTCTATATACACATAAAAAGCAATATTTCTTTCCTTTTATTGGTGTTGAATATATTATCTTAGTAGAGAATAATGTTTCCAAGTAAATGAAAATCCAGGGTTTGGCCATTTCAAAATTCATACCCTATAAAAGTTTTTTGTTGAAAGTCAATGTCAAAGCAGCCTATTATACTTGACAACAAAGGCAAATATCAAATATTGTGACTGCGCCAAATTATATTACCCATTCAATTCAACTACTAAAAACAAAACTATAATACTACTATTTCTTCTCATGCACCAACTTCCCTTATATAAATGTCATCTCTTACCCCTCTTTTACCATAATAACTAAACATATAAACAACTGCTACATTCATTTTTTTTCCTCCAATTTTTCAAGCCTAGCCAATTAATCATTCTTTTACATATATCAAAAGATTTAGAGAAATTAAATATATGGCAACTCTTCAAGCTTCAAGTTTCTTGAGATCGTCTTGTACTAATGCTAACTCATCATCTTCATCTTCTCGAAGACGAACCAATATTACAGCAAAAATCAATATTCCCAACATTCGTACCAACAAAACCTCCCAGCTCCCTATGCTAATATCAGATCAGCTTGAACAATTTGCCATCAATCCAATTGAGGAATTAGTGCTTAGTCCTTCAAGAATATTAATTCATGATACAAATGTTGATGGTCTGGATCCCCTGGTTATCGAGAAGCTTTACGTTATCAAAGAGGCAGTTGCAGATAGAGTTGAGATGCATAAAAATATCGGAGAACAGAGAAGCCAATGGAACAGTATGCTTTTAACATCCATTAATGGAATAACTCTAGCAGCTGCTACAATGGCTGGCATTGCAGCTACCAGTAGTGGTGATTCTGTTTTGGGACTAAAAATGTCATCTACTATCATGTATTTGGCTGCTACTGGCATGTTGACCATCATCAACACGATTCAACCATCTCAGCTTGCTGAAGAACAACGCAACGCAACAAGGCTTTTCCAAGATCTATATAACCAAATCGAAACAACTTTATCAATCGGTCATCCTTCGGGTATTGATGTGAAAGAAGCTATGGACAGAGTATTGTCTCTTGACAAGGCTTACCCTCTTCCTCTTCTTGGTGTAATGCTAGAGAAATTTCCATCTTCTGTTGAACCTGCTGTTTGGTGGCCTCAACAACGTCGAAGACAGACTAAAAGTGTCAATAATTGGAACGGATGGAATAGTAAACTGGAGGAGGAAATGAAGGAAATAATGGGAGTATTAGGAAGAAAAGACCAAGAAGAATATATTAGCCTAGGGAAAAAGGCATTGAAATTGAACAAGTTTTTAGCCATGTCCGGTCCATTGCTTACAGGCCTAGCAGCAATTGGCTCAATGTTTATTGAATCTGATTCTGCTTCTCATGGATCCAATTGGGCCGCTATGTTAGGAATTGTTGGTGGAGCATTGGCGAGTGTAGTAAACACAGTTGAACATGGTGGACAAGTTGGAATGGTATTCGAGATGTATAGAAGCAACGCTGGTTTTTTCGAGTACATGAAAGAATCCATTGAATCAAACTTGATGGAAACAGAAACGGAGAGAAGAGAAAACGGTGAAGTGTTTGAAATGAAGGTTGCGTTGAAATTAGGAAGGAGTTTATCAGATCTGAGAAATCTTGCTTCTTCTTCTTCTTCATTGAAGGAAGAGTTTGCAAGCAAGCTTTTTTAATGTTTTAAAGTAACTGTTTATTGTACAAGAGTAGGGGTTAGCTAACTCATTCTTTTGATTCAATTGTTAATTATCAAATGACTTGATTTATTCGTTTATTTTATTTTATTTATTTATACTCCATGAGGAATGAATCTTCTCTTTAAGCTTAACTGTTTTTCTGAATTAGTGACGTATGCAACAAAAACAATTTAAAGAAGTAAATAAAAAACTAATTACCATATGACATAATGCTAAAAGAACACAAGCATATTAATACTTCATGCATGACTTGTTTTTCGATAGATCAGTAAATCAATGTAAGAAAATCAACATAATATATATAATTAAAAATTTAATACACTTGGGACCCGTTTGGTAGGAGGTATTAATCAAAATAGTCCATGGATTAAAATTTAGTCCAACAAAAACATTGTTTGGTTACTTTATTTAACCTAATCCATGGATTAGTTATACCTCATACAAGGTCTTATCTAATCCCTAGAAAAGGGAGGGATAACAAATCAAAGGTTTAACAATCCTTGGATAAGACCCCTAAATGACTAAACTATCCCCAACTCTTTTTTCCTTCTTTTTTTTTTGTAATTTAATGCTCTTTTTTATTTTTTTTTATTTTTATATGAGAATATTTATAAATATTCTTTTAAATTCTCCAAATTCGTTCCATGTGATTTGATGATTTCACCAATTAATATTATTTTTTTCATGTTTGATTTGTTATATTGGGTTGGTCTTTTCATTTTTTTTTTAAATATAGTTCGTTGATTGACCTCTTGAACAATTTTTAAGAAAAATAAACTTTGTGTATTTCAACAATTTAGGTAGAGCTTAAATCTATGTTAAGTTCAAGGTATATTTGACCAACAAAAAATTAGAAATATACCGTGCTATCAAGGATCCCTATGGTGGCATATCACACCTCAAAATTAATAATAATTTTTAATATATTCTAGTATTTAACTTGACAAATTAAATGAAATATAAAATCTCATAATAACTCAAGGGTATAAAAGGAAAGAAACTTTTTCTAGAATTTTAAACCAAACATAAGATTAAATGGGAAACAATGAACCAAACACTTGATAAAAACTAATTCCTGCATTACTAATCCATGCATTAGTAATCCATGCATTATGCATCTTTGTACCAAACGACCCCCAATAGTTAATACATACTTCCTCTGTTCCTAATTACTTGTCCACTTTTGAATTGACACACATATTAAGAAAGTAATGATTGACATAGTGAGTTTACCATTTTACCCCTATTGATTATGAAGTTGTATGGATTAAATCTTAAGATTTTCAAAAAGTTCTACATTTTCAAAATAATTAATTGAAGGTATAATAGGTAAAAAGAATCTGTCGTTTCTTGATTTGTCAAAATGAACAAGTAATTAGGAACAACTAAAAATGGAAGAGTGGACAAGTTGTTAGCTTTTTCCCTTTTTCTTGGGGATCCGGTTCTTCTCCATTTCTCTTCTCTCCATTTTCCCCAAATTCTAGCCTGGATTGCAGACATATGTCATAGTTAGGACTTTGCTTTAATTAATTATATCTCAATCATTAATTCTAAATTATGACATGTGTCTCTAATCCAAGGAAGAACTTGGAGAAAATGGAGAGAAAAGAAATTGAGAAAAGCCTGATCCTTTCTTCTTATATAATACCGACATAAGTTAGTGAGAAAATTTATGATTTATGCAATATAGAATAGAAATAAGTGTATTAAATAATAGTACCTCGATAAAAATATTAGAATGATAAAAATTATCTCTCAATGAACAAACTTTTTTTTTTTTTACTAAAAAGTAGTATACAAATATTTGAATTATACATTTGAAAAAATTATCTCGACTAAAATTTTTATTTTAAAAATTACTTTAAATTCATTGGTGTTTTCATACCGCAAATATTTTTTACTAGTTATAATTATATAATCAAACTACACATCCGAAAAAAATAATCCACGTTACAATCCTTGATGTTTCAGGAGAATTTATTTATTCCGTTAAGCATCACAGATAATCTAAAATATACAGCAGCCACATGCTTTATTTTTCGGCCGATAACGTAGAAAGTAACGGATTATTAGCGAATTATCTTATGTAAGTAATGATCTGAATTCTGAAGGGCTATTTGAGGAAAAACACACACAAACAATTACTTTCTCTGCCACATTTGGAGCATGAGAATCAAAATAATTAATTTAGATAATGAATTCAGGTACGGAATTTTCAGATATTTAAAAGTAAAATTTACATAATTGAAAATCATATATAAAAAGTATTACAAGTCAATATAGCACATGATTTTTGACAAAATTATAATTCGAAAAAACTGATTGACCCTCCAAATAATAACACCTTGACATAAAAATATGACTATCATATTTTTTTTATTTGTAATCATAAATTTATATACATCCTTTATTTTTTCTTTTTATTTTTTTGGGTCTCATGTATTACTAAATTGCATTCACCAATTCGTAATATGGGTTGGTGAGTTCGGTCGATTAAATAAATTGCATGTCGGCAATTAAGATCATCCTGAACATGATATATCCATAGCCTATAAGCATATAAAAAATTCTGAGTAAAAAAATTGTCTATTTTTTACTGCTTCAAAAATGTGGTTGACTTTTAATGCTATTCCATAATATAAAGCATAAAGTCATTGTTTGTTTATGCTAAGGCCGTCCGTCCCGTTAGCTTTGTGGGATGGGGTGGGGAAATGGGTTTGTCCTCTATTATTATATCAAAAACAATCTTTAACGTTAATTAATTATCAAAAATGACTTAATTGTCGTTAAATATATTTTTTTAGAGGCAAGTAACACTTTTTATAAATATCCCTAAAGTCTATACTGACACTGAATTCAATGTCAATTAGTTGAGCACTCTTATTTATATGCATATTTATTTCCATTAAAAATTATTTTTATTGCAGTATATGTCTTGTTTCACTTTTAACTTCCCAGTCCACCTATCCTGTTAAGAACTTGTTCCGTGCCAATTAAATTAGAAAAAGCATTTTTATATGTTTGAAATTGCAATGTTTTTTTCTTATCGTTATTAATTTTTATTTTTATATTTTTGGAGTCGGTAATAAGTAAAAGTAACATAACTGACGTTCATAAACCATAATATGTCAAGGTTATTTTAAAATTTGTGTATTCTTATATCACCTATTGTACTATCATCTTTTTATAAATTTTTAATGCTTAAATATTTAAATCAATAGTAATAATTAAAAAATCTCACTCAGGCCCTCCCCGTCCCGTCCCATTAGCGTAGTGGATGGGACGGGGCGAGGGGTTCATCCGCACCAATCCTCCCTATCCCGTTAAGAAATCGTCATGTTCCTTCCCCCTAAAATCGTCCCTTTCCGCCCCCACTAGATAGCCTTAGTTTATATATCATGCATGAAATATACATACAACTTGGGCAGAAAGTATAGTTGGTTAGGTTGGTGGTTTGTAAATAGAGACACCATAAAAGTTTTCCTATAAATGTTGAAAGTCAATATAAGGGAAGGAAATGTGTAAGCAGTCAAAACAAGAAAACAATAACAAATAAACAAAAGGGTGCTCGTGAGATCCAAAATTTACGGAATTAAGCCAAATAAGAAAGAGTCTTGTCATATACCCATTCAATTCAAACTTTGAATAACTCACTAGTCTATTATTCGTCTCGGTCAAATCTTGAATATTTCAATGTCAACTCTCCCTATATATATGTCCTGTCCAACTATTTTTTCATAATCACAACTAAATCCATTTTTTCTTTACCATAATCTCTCTACTACACAAAAAACTTTTCCATCCTAAATCCCATTGGAGAAATTAGAAAAGATGACAATCCTCCAATCTTCAAGTTTTTTGAATTCTGTTCCGTCAACATCATCCAATTACAGTTGTAAAAGAGGATTGATAAGAGCTACTATTAATATTCCAAGAATTAAAACAAGCAAAATCTCTCTTCCGAATCTTCAATCAGTGCATGAACAAGATTTGATTAGCTATTCAACCATAGTAAACAACGATAACCTAGTCGAGATACAACTTAGCCCAGCTACAACAAGAAGCCATATGGTTAATGGTCGTCCTGATCCCCTGGTTATCGAGAAGCTTTATGCGATCAAGGAGGCAGTTGCAGATAGAGTGGAGATGCATAGAAATATAGGGGAGCAAAGAAGTCAGTGGAATAGTATGCTTTTAACATCTATTAATGGGATAACTCTAGCAGCTGCTACAATGGTTGGAATTGCAGCTAGCAGTGGTGCTGAGGGTGATTCTGTTTTGGGACTAAAAATGTCTTCCACTTTGATGTATTTGGCTGCTACTGGAATGTTAACGATCATCAACACGATTCAACCATCCCAGCTTGCTGAAGAACAAAGAAACGCAACAAGGCTTTTCCAAGATCTACATAACCAAATAGAAACAACTTTATCAATCGGTCACCCTTCGAGTATTGATGTGAAAGAAGCTATGGATAGAGTATTGTCTCTTGACAAGGCTTACCCTCTTCCTCTTCTTGGTGTAATGCTAGAGAAATTTCCATCTTCTGTTGATCCTGCTGTTTGGTGGCCTCAACAACGTCGAAGACAGACTAAAAGTGTCAACAATTGGAACGGATGGAATAGTAAACAGGAGGAGGAAATGAGAGAAATAATGGGCGTATTAGGCAGAAAAGACCAAGAAGAATACATTAGGCTGGGGGAAAAGGCATTGAAATTGAACAAGATTTTAGCCATGTCCGGTCCTTTGCTCACAGGCGTAGCAGCGATTGGCTCTGCATTTGCAAGTCATTCTCCTCATGGATCGTGGGCAGCCATGCTAGGAATTGTTGGTGGCGCATTGGCGAGTGTAGTTAACACAGTAGAGCATGGTGGACAAGTTGGAATGGTATTCGAGATGTACAGGAGCAACGCCGGTTTCTTCCAGTACATGCAAGAATCCATAGAATCAAACTTGAGAGAAACAGAAACGGAGAGAAGAGAAAATGGTGAATTGTTTGAATTGAAGGTGGCTTTGAAGTTAGGAAGGAGCTTATCAGATCTGAGAAATCTTGCTGCTGCTTCTTCATTGAAGGAAGAACATTTAGATGAGTTTGCAAGCAAGCTTTTCTAATCTTGTACATATTTTTGTATTACTAGTGGAACATATTCTTTAATTTTTTTGAATATATTTTCTTTAACAAAGTTAATTGGTTTAAAACAGTACTGTCTATGAGCATATTTTTCTGATTCTATATTGATTAGTTCTTGAAATTTCTTACCAAATCCTATCTGTCATGATACGAATTCATGAGACCATGACTGCCCTTAGCAAGCATCTACCCGACTAAGCAAGTCGATATTAAGATTGATTAAAATGTACTCATTAATAATTAGTACAAAACCAATAGATTTAGCTAGTAATTAGCTTGATTCTATGACAAAAGTCAAGGATTTGAAAGTGAAATTAGGGTGGTTAATTAACCTAGGGTAAGGTCAAGAGAGATATTATTATTATTATTCACATCATCTAATCCGGCAGATGGTTGTAAGGACATAGTTGTGCTGCCAGAGTCTTCGGCTTCTTCTTCAGTATCAATCATTGAAAAATGCTTATTTGACAAACTGCTACCATATTGATCGCCTACACTCCCATCCTGCCATAATTAAGCAAAATTAGTTAAGTAATTAATCTCACTAATCTATTTGCTCACAATTTATTGGATAATTAATTACTTGTACAGTAGTGCAGCCTTTGAAGAAATCCCTGAACATGTTGCTAGCTGAGTTGGATCGTCTTTCCAATCCCATCATCTTCTCTGGCATATGTTTCCTGTTCAATTATAACAACGGGGCCGGGAGGGGTAAACATGTAATTTCATATATCATCTTTGTAATTTAAAATACTAGCTTCGGAGTTTTCTGTCTTATGTTTCAGGTAATTCCACTTGTTAATGAATGGAACTAGCTGATAAAATTATATAAATATATAAAAGTTAAACTCAGTAAGAAATTATAATTTTTAATAGAAGGAGAAATTTAAATGAATTGATAGGTGTGAATGAGAAATGAAACGAACCATGGAGCTGGAGGGAAAAAAGGAGGCGTGGAGGCAATTTGGTCCGAATAGTTACTAGTTATTGTCGAATTAGGATCGTCATTATAGTAATGATGAAGAAAGCTTCCATGGGGATACATCACTTGATCTGGACCATCCATTCTATTCCTCTTGCTCCCATTTGCAGCCTCTGCTACTGCTGTAACAAAAAATAAAAAGGATCAAATGAAATTGTGATAAACTTAATCAACTCGTAACTGTTGAACGAATAATTTAAAGTTGGAATAGGAAATTAAATTTGTTTAGAATTTGAATATTTATTTATTTATTTATTGAATCCAGGTTCTATTATATGAACACTTGTTTGCTTGTACAAAGAGTCCACCACTACACATGACAAATAAACTGGGATCTTTCTTCTTTACCCCCAATAGCCGGTCTGATTTAGTGGACCCTTTAGTAGGATTTGAATGCACATGAAATTCTGACTATATATCATAGAAAAAAAGAATGAATCGTGTATATATATCTTTTTGGAGATTTTTTTTTGGAAACAAAGGATTAATCATCTACTTTTTCTTAGATGATAAACATAGATTATATATACACCCAAAATAAAAAGAATAAGAATGAAATTGAGGTAAATTATCAATTTTGGCCTTGCTAGCCATAGACTAGCTAGTGAGTGACTAGTAGTTCTACTTTTTAGTAACTTAAAGGCGGTATTGTAAGGAATATATATAATGGAGCATTCAGGAAAAACACAAAGGGTCAAATGAAACATAAAAAGATTCCACAAATGGAACTTCAGTATCTTTTCTTGATTTCATCACTATTCATTCATTTACTTGCTATTTTCTCAAAAATTGTAGTATTAATTAAGTCATAAACTTTCAATTTGACTCATCATCTAATAAAATCAAGTTTCAAGCTCCTCGATCGCTATAAAGAATTTTAAAATCCCCAAATGAAAAGATAAATAGAATTAAAGGTAGTTTATTGAAGGATACCTTGCATCAACTGTTCATGTTTCATACTTCTGTACATCTGTTCATATCATCAAAAAAATACATCTTCTTAAAGCTACAGGAAAAGAAAAAGAATGAAAGGCCTGTTAATAAATAACCTGAAGGTGACTCTTAACGTGAGATATGGTGAGGCCCTTCACATCCATCAACTGTAGCACCATCTTTGGTGTTGCTCCTAATTATATATAAGTATGTACCACAACAAAATAAATAAATAAATAAATAGCTACCAAATTATTAAGTCATCATGATATATAAAGAGAGAGTTAGGCTTACGATCTTCTCCACCAAGACGCTCAACAGCATGCACAAAGCTGCGATGAAGATCATGTGTCCATCGGAGTCTAGGCATTTTCGATCGAACATATGGTCTTACACCTGATTTGTTATTGTTAGTATTTTCTAATATAATTGGCTGCTTCATGGATAAATTAGAAGAAGAATTTTCTGAGAAGTGATGTAGCCCGTTCATCATGTGGTTGGGAAGATGGGGCTATAGGGAAGAAGTAGCTAGTACTTAATAGTGTATGATACAATAAAAGGAGAATATTTATTAGGGAGTCTGTTGTCATGTTTTGTCTATTTCTGCAGGCTTTTTAACAACAAGGGATATGAGTTCTTGAAAGAGTTTCATTTTAAAAGTCTCTTGAATTTTGATTATGAAGCTGAAAATTTTCCACACATATTCAACCTTGCACTCATAATTACATGAAAATAGTGAAAGGACTTTAATGAATAAGAACAAAAATAAGTCCCCAGAAAAAGATTCTAATTGATTATAATAGCTTTACTTTACAGGACATCTTTGTTTGAAGTCGGCATCAAAACATTCTTGTGTGCCCACTTATGAGATAAATTATACACCACAAACACACCTTTTTTATCAGTCTTAACCTTAAAATACCCCTAAAAATCGCCTAAACAGATCATTAATGGTGATTGAACATAGAAATGATCGTCAATGTTAAGATTAGCTAAAAGACAAATTAGTGTGTGAAAAGTGAAAACCTCTTTTGGCATTTGGTGAAGTCAGTTACGAATAATTAATCAACACTTCAAGCGTGTACTTGATGAGTTATACAAGTGTGTTGTTTCTCAGAGCTTGATATACTCATTATATTATTTTTCAAAATTTGACTAATACTCTCTCCTTCTCAAATTAACAATCCCAAAATTATTATAGTTGGAAATCTTACCGAAAATATTTTTTTCACAAACACTTGTACGGAATTCATCAGGCGTATCAGACACTGTCCTTAAGGATATTTTTTTTTCCAACAATTATTATTTTTTAAGAATTAAAAGAAGAATGCACAATATTTAAAAGAAATAATCAATCTACTTTTATTAATTAAAAGATGAGAATAACTTCTATCCACCGACAGTGGACAAGAAAATTACATCGTCGGTTCATTTTTAAAAATACTTACTCCTCTTAATATATCCACATATTATTTATATTTAAATAAAAATAACAAAACAAGTTTTATATGGTAATTTGGACTCTAAATTAATTATAAAAGTTTGTTTAAGATTCTTATTTGATTGCCAAAAATAAGAAGGATTCTTCCGCGCTTTCTTGTCTTCATTATTTTCACCTTGTTCTCCATCAATACCATTGGAACAGTTTGAGACAATCATCAATGACAACTTTTTATTTATTTTTTTCTTTATAAAATCTAACTAGTTAATCTCATAAAAATTTTTATTTAGAACTTATTAAGTATTCTTTGCAACATGAAAAAAGTTTTTGGATAAGTGCTTCTATTGCTTCAATGTTTTCTCTTCTTAGTTCATTCAATCAACAATACAAAAATTAATTGAAAACAAACTTTAATCCGTGTAACTTAATAAATTATACTTTGTATATGTTTATGAAATATTTTTATAATGGGCATTGAAAGAGTTAAAACAACACTTAAATGAAATTGTGAAGTAACATATAGCTTAGCTTATTTGACCTTTCTTTGGTAGTTGCCAAAGCTAGATATAACAAAGTTTTACTTTATTTCTTAAACTCCATATCCGATCAAAATGTATCACATAAATTCACGGAGAATATATTTATTATCCGAAGAAGAATGATGAGTGGTGAAGTGAGACCAAAGAAGAAGGAAAAAGATGAGGGTGACATAGGCAAATGTATGTCCTCAAGGAAACATACCAAATTCCCCCTGCCCCACTAATTCACCATTTCCTCTTCCTAGAAACCGCAACTCCCTCTCATCCCTAAAGTTGCTTTAATATTTCTTCTTTCTTTTTCGAGGGGCTCTAAACGTTATTAACGTTACCCCTGACTAGATGGAGCCAATGAAATAGTGACACGTCTAAAAGTTTGTTGACATGTGGCTCATTCGCGATAACTTCTATGAATAAATAAGGATATAGATCATTAAATGAAATCTCAACATATCATATTTTTTTAACGATGACACGCTAGAATTTCCGCGGGCTTTCGTAAGATACTTAATATTTAGTGCAGAAATTTTAAGTAGCTTACGTCGGAATTGGTTGATGGGTGGAATTTAGGAGAAATCCTTTGCGGAATTCAGTCACAGCCGAGATGGCCGAATGTAGCCAAAAAAATAGTACGTAAGTGGACAAAAATTGGGGATGAAAACGGGAACGAAGTGGCTTGGAAAAATGACAGGAATATTCTCTGGCAGGAGATAATACATGGACAAGTATTTTGTAAGCCTGAATAATGGACACTCTAAGAAATTTAAGAATTTTATTTCTCTAGCCGTGATCATTCATTCAGTGACTCTAATTATTATAATGGTTGAAAATTACGGTTCAATTCCCCATGAAAACAAAAAAAAAAGTTGGGTGATTAATTCTTTTCTTATTTGTCTAAGTTTGATTAATAGAGTGTATTCACATCTATGGAATAACCAGTAGTATTTGATAGAATAATCAAGATGCGCACGAAGTAGATTTTTAAAAAAAGGTCTCTCAACGTGTGGGTTACTTGTGATCAAATTATTATGTGTTATTGTATTTGATGTTTACTGAGAAACTAAATAAAGTAGTTTGAATGGTCAGAAACAAGACAAAGGAAGGAGTGAACGCCTGACTGGATAGAAAGTGTGAACACAAAAGCATTGTGAAAAGTGTGAACAGAAAACCATATTTTAAAAGAAAGAATGCAGAGAATGAGAAAACCCAACTTAGCCTTAATTTCAGACGACAGAATGTAGCCAATGTTAATTGTTGTAAAATTCATCCCAGTAACTGACGAATTGTTAATATGATGAGTTTCAAATTTCACATGTCAAATTTCTTGACAATAGCTATTCTCCCTCCATGACCATATGTTATTTTAGCTCAAAAATATTACAAAATAATTGTCATTTTAGAAATTCAAAATTAAAGTCGATAATTGTTTTCTACCACTATTAAAGAAGTATGTGCAATATTTAAGAGGAAAAATTAATCTGCTTTTTTTTCTTCTCGAAAACTTTTTTCTTTTTATTTCAATCTGCTTTTATTAAATAAAGATAACTTAGTAAATATATTACTACATATAATAAGTGGAAATTAGAGGAGCATGAGGTCAAGTTTCTCAATTTACAAAGAGAACTAAGTTTCTTTTTAGGAAAAACATGAGAAAATGCTAAAACAGTTAAATTGGGACGAAAATAAATTCAGGTGCACCTCACCTTATTTGTTTTCCTCAACACACAAAGTTGAGACTGTTTGTAAGCACAGACAAATATAATCTTTTTTTTAAAACAGCAAGTCACATATACAGTCTCGGGATAAATTTTCATTTTACCCTTAAGAAATGCTTAAAGTTTTAAGCAGATTGAAACCAGAAAAATGAATTTAACTTCTACGATTCATTGATTTGCCAAAGGCATATACATTAATCAGTTCATGACATGTTAGCTAGTTAATGACGTGTCGGATATTAGAGTTGGTTGAAAAAAAAAGTTAGTTTCATTTTATCACATAAATTGAAATAAAAATAATAATAAATTTAAGTAACGAACAAAAGTAAAAACATCCAAGTAATTATTTGCTCGAATCGGAGTAAAATTAATCAGATTTGATCTCCCTCCTCGTCGTGCTCATGCACTCAACGCTCGCCAACTGCTGATACACCATCGATTCTCTCCGATCTGAATTTTTTTTTAATCAAAATCAAAATCCAGGAAAATGATCCAAGTGCTGTTTACTGTGATATTCGCCGAAATGGCGTTGATCCTGCTCCTCATATTCAAGACGCCATTGAGAAAACTTGTAATAATGGGCCTGGACCGTGTTAAGAGAGGCCGGGGCCCAATCGTCGTGAAAACTACTGGCGGCACCATCTTCATCGTCATGCTGTCCTCCATCTACAGTGTGGTGTCTATCCACAAACGATGGATCGATGAAGATGGCAATGTTACCCCAACTGATCAGATTCTTATGGCTCAACATCTTCTAGAAGCTTCTCTCATGGGTAATAACATTTTCATTTTCTCCCTACGCATCTTATATGACTAATTTTACCTGTATTAGCAATGGTGCAGTGAAATTCTGAATCCGCAAACTTTAAATTCTGAATCAGTTTCTGCGGATTTGAGTTACCCGATCATATAATTTGAGAAACAATCTCTATTTATGATTATTTTTTTTCCTTGCGAAACATTTGTTTTGATGAGCAAGTCTCCTGGCTTCTCGCAACCCTCCAAACAATAAGCTTTGGATGTACTTGAATGGAATTTATATCTATACCAAGTTCTCAACAGTGATTGTTTGTTTGATTTTTTTTTATAGTTATTCTCTTTTGTAATTTTAAGTGATGCATTTCATATTTATTGCCATAAGCATAAAGGTTTAAAAAATATGTACAAGTTTTCATTATTAAGCACCAGGTCGGTATAAAAACTATGTACAAGTTGTTTCATGTTTATATGGCGAATTCATCCATAGTAGGTACCTATGAAGTTCCCCAAATCTCATATAGAACACAATTTTCAAGGATCTTGCAAAATTTTATGAATGATTTTAGGTTGCACTAGCTAAAAGAAAGATGATGCACAGTGAGAAAATCACTTTTTTCCTAGCTTCTAATTGTAATCGTGACATGGAAGAATGTAAGCTTTCCTTCCTAGGAGATCATAATGCATATGAATTGAAGATATCCCTTTTTGTGGTTTGATCTTAAGTTTGTTGGCATCTAACTGGCGTCCTCCTAACTTACGTCCTCTTTACCTTTATCTTCTAAGCCTTGTGTTGCTCTAATAAATGCTATTCCATTCCTGAATAATGTGATAAATTAAAACTGGTTTCTTATGTGGTTAACTTCATCAGTTTATGCTCAAATTCCCCAACTTGGAGTGCCAAGTATCTGGTATCTGTATAGAGACTATAGAGTTTAGACAAAATCAGAAAGAAAAGAAACTAAAATAATCTTCCATTTTCTTTTAGGGATTAAAAGGAAATTCTAGTCTAGGATGAGATTTCCTTGCGGCAAAAACGGAAAGATAGAGAACGAGTCATAATATTCTGCTTCTTCTTTGTTTGGATTCAAGACATTGCCAGTCTAGGATGAGAAAGGGCAACATTCTTTGTTTGAAACAGGGAAGGGTTAAAATATCAGTGTGGAAATGCTATTAATGGATGGAACTTCCTGGTCCTACCACTACAGAAGGGAAAAAAGCTATTAGGTGAACACCAAGATATCTTTGGGTCTTTCAAT